TCTGTTGTAATCACGCTATCTTTCGAACAAATTGAGATAGAAGGCTAAATTTTTGCAGACATGTATATTTTGCCAGTAGGCAGGTTAAGTTCGTAAATGGGCCATGTAGGTCCAAGTTATCATATAGCCCTCATATAACGGTACCTCCCGATATTCGGTATTTTGATGATGACATAATTCACCGGAATTGTTTCAACTTTGGTATTTGAAGTTCGAAATGGATACTACAGCCTACGACAGAAAATTATGTGGGCAGGTCTACGTCTTCGTATAGCCCCCATATAACGGTATCTCTCTATATTCGGTATTTTGAAGATTTTAGCGACATTATTCACCGAAATTATTTCAAATTTGGTGTTTTAGATTCGTAATGAATACTACAGCCTATGACAGAAAATTGTCTGTGCAGGTCCACGTCTTCGTATAGCTCCCATACAACGGCACCTCCCAAAATTCGGTATTTTGATGATTTTAACGCCATTATTCACCGGAATTGTTTCAAATTACGTATTTAGAGTTCGTAATGGGAACTACAGTCTGTGACAGAAAAATGTCTATGCAGGTGCAGGTCTTCGTATAGCCCCCATATAATGGTACCGCCCAAAATTCGGCATTTTGATGATTTTAGCGCATTATTCACCGGATGTGTTTCAAATTACGTATTTAGAGTTCGTAATGGGAACTACAGTCTGTGACAGAAAAATGTATATGCAGGTCCAGGTCTTCGTATAGCCCCCATATATCAGTAACTCCCTATATTCGGTATTTTGACGAGTTAAGGTACAATACCCACTGAAATTGTTTGAGATATCGTATTTGACGTTAGTAATGGATGCTATAGCCTGTGACAGAAAATTGTCTATGCTGGTTCAGGTCTTCGCACAGCTCCGATATAATGGTACCTCCCTATATACGATATTTTGATGATTTTAGCCACATTATTCACCGTTTATTTCAGGTTTCGAATTTGAATATGGTAATGGCTCATGGCAAAAAATGCCTATGTAGGTCCACGTTGTATGGACCCCAATATAACGGCAATATTCGGTATTTTTAAAATTTAACCGAATTTTTTATGGATTATATTTTTTAAAATTGCCCGGCCGAACTTACTGCTTTTTAACTTGTTTTTTTTTTTTAAATCTTATTGAATGAAAGCAAAAAATGTCGGAAATGGCATCAAATTTTAGAATAAGTTTAGATTTGTTCGAATTGGTCACCTTTGGCACGAATTATGGCTTTCAAACGGCCAATGAAACCGTCACACGCTGCCCGAATGTTGCTCTGCGGTATTTTGGCTCATTCCCGGCGAAGCGTTTACTTAAAGTGATCGACACTTTGGTATTTTTTAGTGCCAACCTTGCTTTCCAAAATACTCCAGACACAATAGTCCAACGGATTGGTATCCGGAGATTTTGGTGGCCATTGTGCGCTGGAAATGGAGCGAGGAACCTCATTTTGTAACCATTCTTGGGTGGTGATTGCTGAGTGCGATGGTGCTGAGTCCTGTTGGAATGTCCAAGGTCTGCGGCCAAAATGTTTGCATGCCCAAGGCTTCAAACGGACAATAAAACCGTCACACGCTGCCCGAATGTTGCTCTGCGGTATTTTGGCTCATTCCCGGCGAAGCGTTTGCTCAAAGTGATCGACACTTTGGTATTTTTTAGTGCCAACCTTGCTTTTCAAAATACCCCAGACGCAATAGTCTAACGGATTGGTATCCGGAGATTTTGGTGGCCATTGTGCGCTGGAAATGAAGCGAGAAACTTCATTTTGTAACCATTCTGGGGTGCTGAGTCCTGTTGGAATGTCAAAGGTCTGCGATCAAAATTTTTGCTTGCCCAAGGCTTTAATGTACCCTTCAAAATATTTTCGCGATATTCGGCATTTATTCTGATGCCACGGTCGATTAATACGAGCGGAGAACGGCCATCGGCTGTTATGGCGGCCCACACCATCACCATGCTCGGCGCATGAGTTCTGGTGGCCAACCAATGCTTTTGTACGCTTGTAAACAATATAATGAGCTGTCACTGGAATAATTTTAACAGCTGTCAGATGAGTGGAAATGACAGCAGTCTGAATTTGGTTGCAGTTTTTTCATCTCACCCTGTATACATAAAAAAGTAGTGAAATAACTGACTGACTGACCTAGAATCAACGCTCAGACGATATGATTGAAGTCTTGATAGGATATAATTCGGATATATAATTGATATATAATTGATAGGAAGTAATTAAGTACCAAGAATAAAAATCCTATATAATAAGGCTGTGATTTTGGAAATTCGTACTGAAATTGTACGAAAAGTACTAAAAATTGAATACTTTGTATTGGGTAAGCGGAATGAACTAGAATTCTGAAATTTGGAATGAGAGTCACTGATGTAGAGCAGGATAGATGTACCAAAGTGTTTTTGGAAATTCGAACTTTAAGCTTACGAAGAGTTCTAATGGTACTAAACATCCAAAATGGTACCATTTGGTATTACGTGAACGGATAAATCTAAAAACTTAAAATTTGGGTAGAGAATCGAGATTGGAAAATAAGTTTTATATATATGAAGGTGATTTTGGAAATGTGCACTTTGTGTGCGAACTGTGCTTAATGGTAATAAATTTGGAATAGTTTAGTTTAGGGTGAACCGATGAAGTTGGAATTGTGAAATTTTATATTGTGGTCTTTGTTGGTGGTAGGTTTGTTATAAAGAAGTTGGTTTGGAAATGTCTGGTACAAGTTCACGAAAAGTACTAATTTATTTTGGTACAATTTGATATTGGGTGAACAGATAGTGCTTGAAATTTGAAAATTGGTCGCTGTTCATGTGTAGTCTGGACATATGGAGGTGGTTTCGGAAATATGTATTATAGTAGTTTACAAATAATTAAGTGGTACTAAATTTGGTATTGAGTTAAAGGATAGAGCTGAAACCCTAAAATTTGAGATTAGGTTTTCTGTTGATATCTGAGGTTGAGATATGGAGACTGTTTTGGTTTTTGCCTACTATAATTGTACAAAAATTACTAAATGTGGTATTGGGTGAAGGAATAGAGCTGAAATCCTCAAATTTGAAGTAGATGTCACTGTTGGTGTCTGAGGTTGAAATTTAAAAATGAGTCATATATTTGTACGACAAGTTCTAAATTTGGTACTGGATGAAGGGATAGAGCTAAAATCCTGAAATTTGGTATGAATGTCACTGTCGGTATCTGGAATTGAGATATGGAGGTGGTTTTGAAAATGTGTACTATAGCACTAATTAGTACAACAATGGTACAATTTGACAGTTGGTGAACAGACAGTGCTTGAAATCTGAAATTTTGGTATTAGGGTCTCGTAATGTGTAGGTGGTATCGTAATGTGTGCTATAATTGTATGAAATGTACTAAGGGTACACGTTTGGTATTGGGTGAAGGGATAGAGATAAAATTCTAAAAATTGGAAATTAGATGACTAATGTTTGGTAATTTATACGAAAATTGACAAATGTTACTAAATTTCGTATTCGGTGAAGGGTGTTGAGCTAAAATTCTGAAATTTAATATTTAGGTCTCTGTTGGTAACTAAAATTGGTACGTGGAGGCGATTTTGGAAATGTGTACTATAATTGTATGAAGAGTACTAAGCGGTACTAAATTTAGTATTGGGTAAAGAAATAGATATCAAATTCTTAAAATTGATATTTTGATGGTATCTGGTACTTAAATGGGTATTGAGTACTTAAATGGGTATTGGGTGAAGGTATAGGGCTGGAATTCTCAAATTTGATATTGACCTCTCTCAAAATGTTGACCCTTTGTGGGGGAGGTACCAGAAGGAGTGGTCCAAACTTATTCCACCTTCGTATCAGATCTTGTGTTGATATAGAAGTTATAATTATTTAACCCTTTGTGGGTGAGGTACTTGATAAAGTGGCCCATGCTTTTCCTTTTCGCAACTGACCGAGCTCTAATAAAAATATTAGGATTTGACAAGTTCGAAAAGGATTGGGTGCCTTTTTCGCATTTTATGAGAGATATAATTAATCAAAATTTTGACCCTTTGTGGGGGGATGTACCAGAAGGAGTTTGCAAGACATATTCCATCTGCACGCCAGATCTTGTGTTGATAGAAATATTGAAATTGGCGAACTTCGAAGACAATCGGACTTTTATTTCACATTTGGGGTGGATCAATGTATCCAACCTTCGCACTGGATCTTGTGTTCATATAAATATTGGAATGTGAGAAATTTGAAGACAATCGGATTCTTAATTCTAATTTAATAAGGGTATAATTATTCCAAATTTTGAGTTTTGTGGGAGAAGTGTTAGATGAAGTTGGCCGAAATTGCCCATTTTCGCACCCAACAAAGCCCATCTGCAAACTCGATCTAAGTTTAACAATAACATTACGATATACCAAGTTTGGTTCGAATCGGATACTCCCTTCTTGATTTATCGTGCACAACAGCCAACAAGACAGATGGATGGACGGGCATCTTTAGATTGGCTACAAATGCCCTGAAACGAATTTGGTCCAAAGGGACCTAGGGTCTAGAGCCGTTATTTCAATGAGGCACTCTCTCTCTGTAGCCATATGACTGAGGGTATTAATATTGATTTGGTCAAAACTGTTTAAAATATTTTTTAATTTTCAAAAATATTTTCAAATATCGTCACAGTAGTCGCCGAATTCCGTTGGACCATCAGAGCTATAGTCAAAAGCTCTTAAATTTTACTAAATGCTTGCATTTCTTAAAAAGATTTTGAAATTTGTTTGCCTGATGTTTTACCATGTCTTACTTTGCTTTTATAATTGACTGCTAGGATAACTCAAGAAGGGAGCTCACGATTTGGTCCAACTTTCTTTTTTGTGGCAATTTTTTCAAATCATATCGGTCCATTCCTTTTTGTACTTTCCACAATTAGAACCTCCATTAATTTTAAATACAAACCTAAATAAATTAATTCTACATTTAAATTTTTAACGCCTTCCATCCCACTTTTCATTCACTCACCTTTCTTTAGATGTTTGCCCAGCAGTGATTTCTCACGATCCGTGGACGGGGTGATGCCTAAAATTTGATTTTGTTTGACGGCAGGTGGCGGTGACAGTGAATCTCTAGACTTTTTGGCTACGCACAAATTCAATGGCTGGTCAAGACATAGATCTTCGGAGGCGGGGACTGCAGCCGGCGTTAAGGTGTTGTTCGTAGTGGCAATGCTGGGAATAGTACCGGCTCCACCTCCAACCCCACTCCCCACAGTGTGACCACCAATATTATCATCCTCACTTGTATCACTGGCCGAGGCACTTCGTGCCTGTTGCTGTTCAAACTGGGTGATCTGCTGCGAGTATTGCTGCTGGAAATTGCGCAAAATACTCTTGGGCGATTTGGCAGGGGCGGGGGGTATCGTTGTGGCCGATGAATTCGATGATTCGTCGTGTGGATCGCGCGATATCAGGGCGTTCGTGTTGTGCGGTAAGTTGATGTTCGTCGTCGTTGTTGTTGTTGTTGATATAATCGTATTGTTGTTGTTGCTGCTGACCGCATGTATGGCCGCATTTAAATCACGCAAACCCAAGATATCGGCTATGGTATGGGGGGTGGGACGAGTAGGTGGGCGGGCATAAACATGAGGATGCCATGTGGCAGGCGCTGACATGTTCGTTGATGTTAAATGAGCCTCCGCCGATGCTGTGGGCGATAGATTTTGTCTCGTCTGTGGCGTTTTGGCTTGTACACCAATGGGCGGCGGTGAAGATATTAGCGTTTTATTGGCACCCGTAACGCCCACAATACTGCCGGTACCTCCTCCACCTCCGCCGCTAATGGCTAATGCCGTAGAACTGTCATAGCCATTGGTGGCATAGCTGGCCTGCTTTAGTGGTGCCTCTAAAGATTTTTGTAAAAATGTTGTTTCACTTGTTGGTCTCTTCTCTTTAAGGTGGCTGTTGTTGTTGGCATTTTGGTTGGCTGTCGTATCTGCCGTGCCATTGGCACCTGTTGCTGTCGCAGGAGATGATGCTGCCGCCAATGTTTGTTGTTGACTAGTTAAAGCTGCTATGGAATGCAGCTGATGATGAGAATGCTGGTGATGATGTTGCTGATGATTGACATGATAATTATTGTTGTAAGCCTCTGTCCCATTATTGCTGTTGTTGGCAATATGCTCATACATTGCTGCTGTTTGAGGTGTTGTCGGCGGCGGTATGGTCAGGGGACTACGATAAACATACGAACTTGTGGCCATCTTGTATTGGGCCTGTTCCAACTGATGCTGCTGCTGCTGCTCCGCTGCAAGTTTATAATCAGCTGCCGTTGCTGAGCTATAATGAATTTGTGGATAGAGCGGCTGTTGTTGTTGTTGCGAATGCAGCTGATGAGGATGCCGTGAATGCGGCTGCTGATGTTGTTGTTGCTGCTGCTGTTGCTGCTGCTGATGTATGCTGTAATATTTTTGGGCCACCGACGTTTCGAAAACGGGCGCATGTGCCGCACCACTGACCATATCTGTTGTTGCTGCCGCCACGTCACATTCAATTTCGGGCATCATTTATAAACATTTGGTTGGTTGTTTTTTTTAGCTATTCTTGGTATTTAGTTGGAAATGGTTGGAATTTTCGATGTCAAAAATCACACATTTGATTAGCTGCAAAGAGATATTAGAAAAATACAAAAAAAAATTAGTCTTTTGTAGGTTTTTTCTTGGAATATTTGTAAAATAATATCAAAATTTATTTTTTCAGGACTCTTATATATATTTTTAAAGAATGAGTTATTTTGATTTTTTTTAAATCTTTTCAAAGGACATTTAAATTTTATTTTTCCAGGACATTAATAAAAAGCGTAGATTTTTCAAAAAAAAAAAAAAATAATAAATAAATAAATAAATTAATAAATAAAAATAATAAATAAATAAAATTGAGGAGTAAGTCCTTTTGGATTTTGTTTAAATCCTCTTAGATTTTTTTGTTTGAAATTTTTTTTCAAAGGACGTTCAAATCTATAATCCTTCCTTTAAAATAAAAGTATTTTTTTTAAAAATAAGTCTTCAAAGAACCAACTGCTAAGCATTGATTTTAAGGAATAATGTCTCAAAGCATCGCCAGAGGTAAAGTCGATTATTTATAAGGACCCTATTTTGTTAATTTTAAAGCTTTGTTAGAGTAATAATCGATATTTTCAATGACCAATCTAATCAAAGGACCAGCTGTGATATCATTGTGGATATTTTTAAATTTTTGAGGTAGTAACAATTACCTACAAAAAGAAGAGGCAGGTGTAAAGATTTTGGATTTGAAAAAAATTTTAATAATGGATTAAAAAAAATATTGACCACCAGAACTGTCATAGCTAAAATATGTTTTTATTTTCTCCGTTAATTGACTTTAATTTATTTTTTTTTTATAAATTAATTTTTGTACTGACTTTTTTCGATGATTTTATTCGAACATTTATTCAATCATTTTTCATCGCAGTCTTCAAAATATTTTTTTAAAAAAATCCAGGAGTACATCGGAGCCTAAAAAACATTTTTGAAAAAGGTTTACAAATGGAATTACAGTTTTGTCGGTTTTTAAAAAACTCAATTATTTCGGGGCTTTAAAAAGAATCCTCGGTTTTATCGGGACCTTAAAAAAATATTTCTGAAAAACCACGATTATATTGGAACCTTAAAAAATATATTTAAAAAAATATATTGAAAAAATGTTTTCTAAAAAATCCAAGATTTTTATTGGAATTTTAAAAAGATATCTAACGGATCCGCATTTTTAGGAGATATTGAATTTAATTTTCTTTGATTCCACGATTATGTCGGAATATAGAAAGTAAAACTACAACTATGTCGGACTTTACAAAAAATATTTAAAAAGTCGATGATTACGTCGGGATTTGAAAAAAAGAAACTGGACCTGGAAAACTATGTTTTAAAAATATATGATCTACAGCGTGAGATTAAAAAAATGCAACAAAGTCAAACGCCATAATTTTTACATTTTTTTTAATTTTATTGAATGAAGGCAAAAACTGTCGGAAATAGCATCAAATTTTAGAATAAGTTTAGATTTGTTCGAATTGGTCACCTTTGGCACAAAATATGGCCCTCAAACGGCCAATGAAACCGTCATACGCTGCCTGAATGTTGCTCTGCGGTATTTTGGCGCTTGCTTGAGGTGATCGACACTTTGGTATTTTTTAGTGTCAAAATACTCCGGACACAATAGTCCAACGGATTGGTATCCGGAGATTTTGGTGGCCATTGTGTGCTGGAATTTAAGCGAGGGACCTAATTTTGTAACCATTCTTGGGTGGCGCGTTCTGGGTGGGATAGTGCTGAGTCCTGCAGGATTGGCCAAAATGTTTGCGTGCCCAAGGCTGAATATTTTCGCGATAATATTCGGAGTTTATTCTGATGCCACTGTCTACTAATACGAGCGGAGAGCGACCATCGGCTGTTATAACAGCCTCAACATCACCATGGCTTGCGCTTGAGTTCTAGTGGCCAACCGAAGGTGCACATTTTCAGCTGACTTCTTTGGCAAGTAAACACGATCATTTCGATGGTTTACAAACTGCTGGACAACGAATGTTTTCTCATCGGAGAAAACCAAATTCGGCAGTTCACCACTTTCGGCCAAGCGAAGCAACTCTTTAACTTTTGAGTCAATTTTCTTTCTGTTGCTGTGTAAGTTCTTGCACTTTTTGGAATATCAATGGCTTTACCCCGAGCTCATTTTTCAATATTTGACGAATGGAATATTGCGATATGTTCAGCTCACGAGCCATTTTTCGGTCACTGCGATGAAAAATGATTGAATAAATGTTCGAATAAAATCATCGAAAAAAGTCAGTACAAAAATTAATTTATAAAAAAAAAATAAATTAAAGTCAATTAACGGAGAAAATAAAAACATATTTTAGCTATGACAGTTCTGGTGGTCAATATTTTTTTTAATCCATTATTAAAATTTTTTTCAAATCCAAAATCTTTACACCTGCCTATTTTGTAAAACAAGTAAAAAACCTGTAAATTTGAATACCCTCCACCATTTGGAAGGAATTTGACAATTTTCAAAAAAATAAATACGTTAAAAATTTTGTTAAAATTTTAAAAATACCGAATGTAGACGTTAGGGTCTATACGACGACGTGGACCTGCATAGATAACTTTTGTAATTAATCATTACAATATTCAAATGCAAAACTTGGAAAAAATCGGTGAATAATGTAGCTAAAATCATAAAAATATCAAATATATAGAGGTACTATTATATGGGGGCTATACCAAAACATGGACCTGCACATTCAATTTTCTGTGATAGGCTGTAGTATCCATTAAGAACTTCAAATATCAAATTTGAAGCAATTCCGGTGTATAATGTCGGACGAACATCGCTATATCGACACAGAACTTTATGCTGATCAGGAACATATATATACTTTGTGGGGCCTAAAATGTATATTTCGAGGCGTTACAAATGGAATAACAAACTTATTATCCATACTGTGGTGGAGGGCATACAAATCAATGAATATATATTTCTTTAATTTTTTTGATCAGAGCTCGTGCATTTTTAAAGGACTATCAAACTTGAATAACTTAAAGATAAAGCTTAAAATTACATTCTTCATTATGTTTCAATAAATTAACTAACATCAAGAACCATAATTAACTTTCATTCTGCTCTAGATATTAATAACAAATTGCACATTGTAACGAGTTAATCTGTATACAAATGAATGAATCTATACACACACACACACCCATATTGAGATAAGAGCGAAAATTTTGTTTTCCATTTGACTTAATTTCAATACAAGCTTTAAATATAGAAAAATACCTCCCTCTACCTCCGGTTTGACTTAATTTCCATGAATATTTACTATTTATTCAAATACTATTGCAATTGTATTAAATACTCGACACTGGTGAAGCGAATGAGTGGAATTCAAATATACACTCACACACACACATCTACGAATACAAATAGTTTTGAACAACAACTAAAGTTTATTATGGTATCCTACCCATACATATATTTAAAACCTTTCATTTCAATTCAATTAAGACAATTAATTAAATGTACGTTGAGTGCAATGTACACATACACAGTTATACATACATACATATACAGTATGTCAAAATACACACAGTCAACAAATACACATTCAAATTGCTATTAATTCATTTTAAATGGTTAAACTTCGAATTTATCCTATTCGGTTTAATGGCAAGACCCTATGGCATGGCAAAAGAAGGGGAATAAAAGAACCAAAAAAAAAAAAAAAAAACAAAAACAGATATTAAAAACTAGTTCATTTATTGCCATGGTTTTTCTGGTTCCTAGTAGAAGAACTTGCTCTATGGAGCGAGGGTGGAGTGAGAGTATGAAAAGAAGGGGCACAGCATATGGTTTCATGACATCTGTATATATATATGTGTGTGTGTGGCAAACATAGTTGTTCTACAATAGTTAGCGTAGTCATGTCCCTCCCCCGTAAAAACCACAAGGACATAACTACAAATACAATTTTTGCACTCTCTTTCCACTCCCTTTCTTCGCTTCTGCTGTACCTCACCATCATTATTTCCATTCTCATCATTTTGCATGTCAGCTGAATGTTGGATACACTAGTAAATTAAATATGCCATAATAATTTGACTCTATTGCACTTGAGATTCCTGCAGCAAGGATGCTGGCTCCTTTGGTAGAGGGATGTTTGTAAAATTTTGTGGAACAACCTTAGGAGTTTCCTTGCTAAGATCTGCAAGCTATGTGTGTTTGCGGAAGGTAGAATTTCAAAGTTCGAGTCGTATTTTTAAAATTTTTGTTTAAAGTACGACATAATTGTCATTTTATTTTTTTTTTTAAATTATTTTCAAATATATTTTTAAGGCCTGGATTTAAAAAATATAATTTTCAAGGTTTGTGGATTTTTAAATTGCTTCATTGGCTCGTGGGTATTTTGTAAAATATTTTTGCAAGGCTCGTGAATTTAAAACAAGTAAAAAAGCTGTAAGTTCAACCGGTCCGATCTTTGAATACCTTCCACCATTTGGAACGACTTTGCCAATTTTCAAAAAATAAATAAATAAAAAAATCCGTTTAAAATTCTGTAAAAAACTTAAAAATACCGTTATATTAGGGACTATATGATTACGTGGACCTGCAAAGGCAACTTTTGTCATAGGCCATTACAATTTTCAAAAGTGAAACTTGAATAAAAATCCGGTGAATAATGTCGCTAAAATCATCAAAGTAGCGAAGGAAGTACCGTTATATGGGCGATATACGAAGACGTGGACCTGCACGGACAATATTCTGTCATAGGCTGTACCATATAATGATACCTCGCGATATTCAGTATTTTGACGATTTTAGCTACATTATTCACCGAATTGTTTTTCATGTTTCGCATTTGAATATAATAAGGGCTTATGACAAAAGTTGCCCACGTCGTCGTATAGGCCCTAATATGTAGGCTACATTCGGTCTTAGTAAGATTTTAACAGAATTTTTAACGGATTTTATTTTTTTGAAAATTGCTAAATTCTTTCCAAATTGTGGAGGCCCGGCCGAACTTATAGCCTTTTTGCTTGTTCCTCATTCAAATAACCTCAACAGCAATGCCGAGCCATATTTAACC